AATTGTACCCCACAACTATGTTCGACTATAATGTGTCAATTGAAAAAAAAAAAAAATCATCACCAACAATAGTTAGCATGCACTGAATGCTTTCTGTGCTCCACACACTGCACTATTAACTCTACACACATTGTGCAGTTCAGTACTCCCAACAGCACAGAGTACTAGGCATTCTTACCCTATGTCACAGAATTATAAGAGGATCCCTAGAACAGTGAAGCAACATACCCAAAGCTCTAGCTCACCAAAGAAACCAGGATATACAGTTAGCTACAAAACCTGTGTTTTTAGTTCCTCCACTGTATGGCTCTTGGATGCTCTGTTTTCCCCAGGAAAGTCATGCATGTATGAGAGATCAGTGACTACTGTCTACCTACATTTGTTCCTTCCCTATCTTTTCCAGAACAAAAGTTTCCAAATACCTGAACTTCTAGTCTTTTTGCCATACTATTCAAGATCCCTTGAATGTGTTAAAGGTTGTCATTGTCCTAAAATCTGAATAGGTGGGTGTGGCTATCCAGAGAAAAATTTAAAAAAATTGTTCTGAATCCACAAGTAAAGCTAGTAGATGCAAGAGACATTATGTTTTTAGGCTCTGCTGTTTGTTTCTGCTCAAGTCAGTATCAACTTAAATAATTGACTTTTTACATAACATTTACTTTTTTTTTATTATATTCATTCATTCTTCCTTCCATTTGCTATCTTGTTTCTATTTCTCTATACAAATGGAAACTAAACCTCAGAGAGAAAACATACTTGAATATAGTCACTCAGGTCCTAAGTGGTCCTGATAAGGATAAAACCCAGCTATGTTAGATGCTACCATGAAATGTGCAACCAGATTCAAAGCTCCCAAGAGTTTACACAGTCTGGCAACTCAAAAAGACAAACTTCTCATTATGCTGAAAATGAAACTGCCTAGACTCGTCATTCCACACCATATGGCTGAAACCCAGCTGACAGGAAACTCATTTCTGTAACACACTGGCTCATTTCACTGAGTAGGTTGATGCAAGATTTGTGGGGTGGTCATTTTCAAGTCTTTTTAGCACTGATAGCAGCAGTGATATTTATTTTGATGCTTCCTTTCTGCATTTCACATAAAAAAGCAAATGTTCCTAATGATGGAGAGAGACAGATTTTATCCTGTATTATGCTCTAAGTGAAATATCACAAACATAGCTGCAAACAACAATGAAAATACACACCTGCTTTGAAGTCACCAAAAACTATAATCGTTTCTCAGTTTTCTAAGTAACTATGTGGTGGGTTAGGGTAGAGGTTAAGTTCTTAAGTGATACCATCACAGAGTTTTGTATGTTAAGATTAAGTCAAAGTGTTTGGAGGTTTAAAATTATCCTGTGTCTTTGCAAAGTCAGATTTTAAAGCAGTAAAGTGACTCATGATGCACCAAGGAATTAACAGGAAGTGCCCAGTTCTCTTGCATAGAATGATCTGGGTATGAGATGACACCATTTTTTTCCTCAGACATTTTGTTTTACAGCTGGTACAACAAAACACTCTTTTTTTTTTTTTTTTTGGACACAGTCTTACTATGTTGGCCATGCTGGAGTGCAGTGGGGCAATCTTGGCTCACTGCAAACTCTGCCTCCTGGGTTCAAGTGATTCTCCTGCCTCAGCCTCCTCAGTAACTGGGACTACAGGTGTGTGCCACCACGCCTGGCAATTTTTGTATTTTTAGTCGAGATGGGGTTTCACCATGTTGGTCAGTCTGGTCTCTAAAACCTGACCACAGGTGATCCACCCACCTCTCAGCCTCCCAAAGTGCTGGGATTACAGACGTGAACAACTGAGCCTGGCCCAAAGTAGTTTTAAACCAGAGGATAGCTTGAAGACTTTGTGTTTTCCTATACACCAGCCAAGAATTAAAACAGAAAATCCCATTTCTACAAAAAGAGAAAAGCATAAATTGTGAGAACAGAAAACGTCTTAGGAACATATTTACATGTAGTGAAGTTCACTGAGGCTGGAGTCTATAGGCAGGGGTTTGAACATGGGCCCTAACACTTACTGGCACTTGATCTTGGGCAATGTTCCTCATCTGAAAATGAGACACAATAGAGGAGGCAGCAAGTATAGGGCTTTAGGGTAAAGCCCTCTATGTCCAACATGCCTGGCTGGGAATTCTAGCTGTCAGCCACACTTTGGTTCACCTCTCCCTACGGCTCAGCTCAACTGTTTATCTGTAAACCAGGGGTGATAGAAATGGTGTCTACCACACAAGTGTTTGTGATGTATAAATATAATAACGCATAGCACGCATGGTACCTAGATCAAAGCAAGTGATCAATACACTTTTAAAAAAAGATTATCCACTTAAGGGGTTTCAATAATAAGTTGTAAGTGGTCCCCAGAGGATCCAGAGGGGAAAAGTATCGAACTATACTAAGATTCCAAGTCTCAAGTCTCCCCTTTCAAATCCTCACTGATAGGGATTGGCTGTGTCCTCACTCAAATTTGGTCTTGAATTGTGGCTCTCATAGTACCCACGTGTCATGGAAGGAACCCAGTTGGGGGTAATTGAATCACAGGATGGGTTTTTCCTATGCAGTTCCTGTGATAGTGAATAAGTCTCATGAGATCTGATGGTTTGATAAAGGGTAGCTCATCTGCACATGCTCTCTTGCCTGCTGCCAGGTAAAATGTGCCTTCGTGCTTCCTTTGCCTTCTGTCATGATTGTGAGGCCTCCCCAGCCACATGGAACTGTGAGTTCATTAAACATCTTTTTCTTTATAAATTACCCAGTCTTGGGTATGTCTTTATTAACAAGGTGAGAACATACTAACACTCTCGCCTACAATCCAGAGAAATCTTGGTCCTTATCTATTTTATTTATTGGGATTGTGTGTTGAATTTTACTTTTAAAAGCTTCTGTCACTGGAAACATTCTTTAAAAATTCTGGGTAACTCTAATTTTACAGACAGAAAAAATGCAAGGCCCTGAAAGACAAAGGGGGTTGTTGTAGATCATACCACAGGTAAACCACTGAACAGGGATTTAGACTGCACCTGGCTATATCATCTCTGCACCCTGCATTTTTGCCTCCATTAGACCGTATAAGAATGGTCACTTCCATCTTTTGATTCTGCTGAGCTCATGATGGCCAGGATGCTGCTAAAGTTTTGAGAATGGAACAGGAGAGTATAATGGGGCCAGTAAGGAGTATTAGGGAAGTCAGGGGCAAATATAAGTGGGAGAGTGGGGGGTGACGGTGATGGAATATATGTGTATACACGTACATATGTGTGCATTTGACCATGACAGGCAGTCAACATCCACTGAACTTGAGAGGCTGGCAGAAGATCCAGATGAAGAAGATCCAGAATTCAAGGAAAGTACCAGGCTGGAGATGAAGCTCTAAGAGCCATCCAGGAAGGAAATTAGACACGTATGTGTACTGAGAGAGAAATGGAGAAATAAACCAGATAAGCTGATTGTGGGAGGAGGTAAAGAACAAGAAAAAGACAAGAGTAATGGAAGATAAAGAAGATGCAGAGTGCAAATAATAATGCAAAGACAAATATAATTTCAAGCAAAAGTGCCTTATAATAATACTAATTTAAGATAATAACACCTAGCGCTTAGTATTTTAGTCAACTCACTACTTTACATAGATGATTTCATTCAATATTTTTTAGCAATCTCAGAAGATACTCCTATTTTACCAACTTTATAAATATTTCAGCAAGCAGGCACAGAGAAGCTAGATACATTGCTTAAGGTTACACAGCTAGTAAAGAATAGAAACTGGGTCAAAAATGAGTTGATTATAGAGCCTGAGATTTTAATCACTGTGCTACAGTGAATCTCAGGGAGCTAAAGAAGGAAAAGTAGCGTTTGCATTAATAGTAATAGCAGTACAGGTAGTAACAGCAGCAGCAGCACCTACTGTTGACTGAGTACTATTTTGTGCTAGGGGCTGTGATTAGTGGATGTAACATGGTCTCATTTAACCTTAGGGACAACTTGAGATGGGAGATGCTCTTAGTCCTATTGAGCAGAAAAGGAAACTGGCTCAGTGAGACAAGCAACTTGCCCAAAGTCACAAAACTAGTGGGTGACAAGAGTTAAAAGCCAGGTCAGCTTGAGTTCTAGGACCCATAAATCACCATGCTGGATTATTTCAGTGTACAGCCATAAAAGATTCATTTGTCATGTGCTCAAATTCAATAATTCCAATAGTGGGATCATAGACGTTTCTGCAAATATTTTTAATAATGAACTCTCAGTGTTTTCACCATTAATTCAGTAAATCAGAGTCAGAACTATGACCCTAAGCCTTCAACAGTTTCCTAGATGATTCTTCAATTGCAACCAGGTTTAGGAATCGCTGTATCATGTATGCAAGTCTGGAATGTGTCAAGCACGACTGCCAGTCTGTGAGGACAGAATGTGCTAAATGAGACTTCTTTGGATGAACACTCATTCTCACACAAAGCTCAGTGTTGAAACGTGTGCCAAAAAGACTTGACAGCTTGAGAAATTTCCACGAGTGGATCAGACTCAGGGGGTTCAACTGCCTTGCTTTAAAAGAATCCAGGAAACTGGCCTAAATCACTCTTCTAGACAGCATTTGTCTTAGTCAGTTCAGGCTGCTGTAGCAAAGCACCATAGCCTGGGTGGCTTATAAACAACAGAAATTGATTTCTCGCAGTTCTGGAGGCTGGAAGCCTGAGATCAGATACCAACCTGGTCAGGTTCTGGTGAGGCTCCTCTTCCAGATGCTGACTGTCTTGTACCCTCACATGACAGAGAGGGAGCTCTGGTCTTTTCATCCCCTTGGAGACACTAATCCCATACATGAGGGCTCTACCCTCATGACTTAATTATCCCTGAAGGCTACACTTCCTAATACCATTTCCTTGGGAGTTAGAATTTCAACATACGAGGACATATTCAGTTTGTAACACCGTTTTCCTTCTCCTCTAAAATGCACATCGTAGCATCAAGCAAGTTAAATGATTCAAGTTTTCTTACCTAAAACTCTTAATCTTTCAGCTCCTACTACGACTTCATTATCGTCTGCAGAGAAGAGCAATTTTCCAGAAACAGTTTTTACTTCAAACTTTTTGCCATAAGCTTCTACAGCTTTTGGACCTGTGAGGGAGGGAGGGAGGGAGGGAGGGAGGGGGAGAGAGAGAGAGAGAGAGAGAGAGAGAGAGAGAGAGAGAGAGAGAGAGAGAGAAATAATAGTCATCGCTTTGACTACAAAAAGCTTTTCATAGAACATACACATCTAACAAGATTGTATTGGACTGGTTTTCAAAAGATGACTATGAAAATCAGTCTCATGACTGTAGCCAAGTCTTGTAAATTACTTTTAGTCAGATACTCTTGGGCTATAATTTTGAAGACCAGCATGCCCTTCCTCGAAACTAATGCTTGACTGTGATTTCCCTCAGCTAACCACCAAACTGCCATCACATAGTTGTGGATTTTTGTTTGCATATATTAAGGCACCAGAGGCTCGAGAAGTGATTATCTCACTTCTTGAGGCACTCACATATCTTTGGCCCTCCCTAATTACCAGAAAGAACTTTTTAAAATTCAGTTGAAATCTGTTTCACTTTGTACCCATAATCCACTGGCTGCATTTGACATCAAGAGAAATCTATTTCCTTAGTATATAGATCAGTTACTAGCAGAAATGATTATTATAATTAATTACCTTAAAGTTGTTAAATCTTTTATGCTAGGATTTTGTTCAGTGAAAACTAAATCTAGATGGTTTATCAGGTGACAACCAATGCTGTTCTTGAATGTAGAGCTATAATACTGTATAAAGAAGTCAAGCCCCTGATTCTATAGCATCTATATTCTGATGAAGACACACCAATATACATTTAAAACTTTATTATTAAATCAGAAAACTGCAAAAGTTTTAGGTATTATAGAAAACGTAAAACAGGTTGGTGATTTAGAATTTCTAAAAGAAGGCATTCCAATCTATCTGACCTGTGTCTACCTGAGTACCTGAATTTCAGGGGATTCTCAAAAGCTGGTCTACAGAAATGCAGAGGAAGAATCCAGGAGTGTAACTATTCTCACTGAACCTAGTTCAGATCAAAAGAAATTCATCATTTCATCTAGAAGTTCCTTCAGAAAAAAATTGGAGGGTAGAATCTAGAAATCTTGTATTTTTTCCAAAATTGTCCAGGAGATTCTGACACGGAATTGTTTGCTTTTTGTTATTTTTCAAAAGAGTGTCACTTAATAATAAATAGTAATGAGATAGTTCCCAGTGTCTTCTAGCCAAAGACCGCTAGAAACACACCTGCTGTTGAGCAAATTGGGTTTATACTCATTGCAGTGAGAGACAACACACACCATAAGGAAAACCACAGGGCGTCTTAGAAAGAAACCATGAGAAAGGACTTATCATAGGATTTGACCTTATATTAGGTTATTTTGGGGAAATGTTTAACCAACTAAGGCTTTATCCTGGATTAACTACTGTCAGGAAATGGGAGTAAATCTCATCTAGACAAAAAAGACCAGGGAAATGCTAAAACTGTCACAAACAAAGAAACAGAGGCACTCCTATTAGCCAGAATAGGAGGATGTTTGGTCTTTTTTGTGGTTTGGACAATGTTGATATTTTTGCTGTGTACACACATGATCAGAGCTGTGTTTTCGTGTTTGTGTTGTGTTTTGTCTTGATCCATCATGGCCACAGAATAGTCTTGCCTGGTGCTGGTGCTCTCTGAAATTATTTACATTGAAGCAGGAGAATGCTAAGGCCCGGCTGATAGTGCCAGTCTGGCACTGGATGTCTGGGGTAGCTTTTCTCTTTGTCAAGACTGTCAAACTAGGAATCAGAAGACGTGAATTATTTCCCAACTTACTCTCATTTTGTGGCAATGTGATTTGGGGCAAATCATTTGATCTTTCTGAACCTCAGTTTCTGTATCTATAATATTGGACTATCATCACGTCCTCTATCTACTTTACAGAAAGTTTGAAAGGATCCAGTGACATTGTGTTTATAAAAACAAATCTATGGGTGGTAAAGTGCTGTGAGTATACAAAACCACTCTTGCGGACATCACCAGCACTATTCTTCTTTGGCAATGGTGACAACACATGGAAAAGAATGTGTCACGAGTACTTATTAATGCACTTTACTTAGTCACATAATCACGTCTATTTGGCAGACCTCATTCCTTGCCAGGATATCCATACCAGCCCTCCAACACAAAGAAGGACATTGGAAAGGCTCCCTAATGAGTAGGATATTGAAACAGCAGAAATAGGACATCACTCACAAGCATCATGGAACCCAGAAATCATCTTGTCTGACCACCTTGATGCTGCAGGTGAAAAGAACAAATGGTGGCCAGGCTGAGGGCTCTCACCAGGTTACTGAGTGAGCCAATGGCAGGTCTGGGTCTGGAATGGAGCTCTGAGAATTTTTCCACAGAAAGAAAGGGGCATTTATTTGTCTACGAAGGAGACGTTGAGGTGAGGGGGCTGGGGCCAGCACATCTGGAACAGCTAGAAAAAGCTCTGTGAGGAAAAGGAGAAATGGAAAACAGGAGACAAGGGCCAGAAGGAAATCTTGAAAGAGCCGAGATGTCCAATGAGGGATTTGGCTTCAGTTTTTCTGCAAAGGCTAAGATGCAGCTATCTTCTTGATTGCATCAAAACTTCCAATAAAATCTATATTATATTTGTTAATACTTTAAGATTATTACTTTATTTTTGTGAGGAGAGAGATTGAAAATGGGAAGGTAATGAAGTGCTAATGAATGAATGAATGACCTCAGGATGGGCACAGGGCAAGCACAGTTTGTCCATTTTGGACCCATTCATATGAAAACGAAGTTGTATAACTTGGGGACACACATGCTTGGAATTCTCCTCTGTGGACCTGGCAGTATCATCAACCTGGTCCCTGAGGAGTTAAGGACACCTTCCTGTGTTACTCTGAATTCATGAATAGCTGTGATACATATAGGAGCATACACTAAAGGACTATAGCAGTATAGAAAGTATACCTCAGCAATCAGAGAACATAAAGTACAATTAATTTATCTTGCTTTTCAGGGCTTCACAGAACATAAAATGGAATTTACCAAGAACTAGAATGATTTGGGTATCTAAAGCTCAGTAATGGGTAGTTTTAGCCAAAACCCCACAGAGCAACTGCTGGCTCAATGGGGCAGACGGCTTGTCCTTTGTTGATTTCACCTGGGGCTGCCAAATTCCCTGGACATGGCTGGAATCCTTAAAAATGACTCTAGAGAAAAATGCAAATAGAGCTGAAGACAGCTCAGGAGATCCTTTGCTGAACTCACTGTTCCTCTCTGGGATGAAAAAAATCACCATTCCTAATGTGAAACTTATCTTGAGTTAATCCCCCTCTGTGTAGTCCATGTGTGGAGGGATTAATCTCCTAAACAAGGAGGAGAACTGAAGCCCCATCAGGATACATCAACAGTCTTGATGAATCTGGGAGCTGCAAAGGCCTAGCGGCCTTCAAGCCTAATTTCTCTCCCTAACTGTCTTAATACTAGGACCCTTCCCCACTCCCTCATGATGCTGTTCAAAGCACCTCCACTGCTTTTCTCCATGCAGGCATGAGGATTTCCCATTCAGACCCACTACTGAGATATTAAATCAGCAGCCTGCCTTATGGGTAAATAGGCATTTGCAATCTAACTTGAGAACTTAACTGTCATGTGAAGGACTGTTTCCTATGAAAAGATCTCCTGAACATATAACATCAGCACTTTGAATGGGCTTTTGAGACATTCTTTAGGTAAGTGGTGGAATTCTTCATTCCTCAGGATTGCCTTTGTAGGCCTCACTGCTTAGAAGACAGGAGTGATTTGTTTTCCAGTAAGTATACCACCCGACACAACAGGCATTAGAAGGTATGTCTGCTGGGAAGGCTGGGCGCTTTTCCACTGTGTGAATTAATGTGAAAGAAGAGTACTGAAGGAAAACTTTTAAGGGGGCGTGTGTGTGTTTAGAATGATGTTTTAAACATATCTGTTATCTTCTCTAGAATTTATTGTAGGGAGACAGAAAACAGATACCACTGGAGGGATAGAGTCAAGAATAGGGGCACAGGAGGAGGGAGAAGGAGGGAAACAGAAGGGAAGAGAGGAAGAGAAAGAGAGAAGAGAGGAGAGAAGGGGAAGGAGAGACAGATAAAGGGGCAGGAGGAGAGAGGAGAAGGAATAGGGAGAGAAATGCTGAAGGGGAGGGGTAAAAGGGTGTGGGGGAGAGTAAGGGAAGAAGGGAAAGGAAGAGGTGGGGGCAAGAAGACAGAGAGACTGACTCAGTCTTTTGCTGAATAATAGTCATTTGGGAAGTTCCAGCTTTATCAAAACAAAATCTCTCAAGTAAACCAAATCTCCCATTGCAAATAAATGGCAAATGATCAACAGGCTAAATGAGCTCCTTCTGAATGTGGGAATCTGGGAGCTGGAGGTTGGATTTATTTCCCTCCTGGAGGCAATTTTCACACATGCTGCTTAAATCATTGCTTACTGAAGCTGTTTATTTAATTATTTAGCATTGTGACTGCAGGCCAGATGTTATATAAGCAAGGCAGAAGATGCAGTCACACGCTGAAACAACACGTTTATGGATTACGGGCAGCAGTTCCTTCAATCCCTGAGTTTCTTGATTGGCGGACGGGCCACGCCACCCACTGGCTGTGAATTTCTAGGTATCCACATGCAGCCCTCCAGGGGCAGAGCAGGAGTGAGGCTGCCTCCCCAGCAGTGAAGACTCTGGGCACAAAGGTCCTTGTTTTCCCATGGCTTGTGTATTGGTGGCGTCCAGACAGTTTATGCACAATAACAGTAATGTTTCAAAGCATTTGGGTAAATGGCTTCTCAAAATGTCCATCTGTATCCTTTTCTCTTAGCCCTGAAGCCAAACAAATGGCATTTTCTGTCTGTAAGTATAACAATGCCATTCAGACAGACATTCCTTTTCCCTCCCACTGTGGGGGTGCACAATGCCTTCCTGTTCACGGCCGCTCGTCACCTACAGAGTGGGCATTGACTGTGCTGCTCAACACATTACTAAATCACGAGGTCCACATGTATCATTATCATCGTTATTGTGAATAACCAGTCCTTGTTTAGATTTCAGGAATGTGTAGCTTCAAACCCAGTGGGTGCTTTCCACAGCTGTTAGGCACAGATCTGTTATATTAGAAGGAATCAAACACAAATATACACATGCACATCTTGTAATTAAGTTAGGTTCAAAGTCAGCACGTACAAGAAATATGGCATGGGTTCAAATTATCATTAAGAATCCCTTTCACAGCCCATAAATTCTGGTCCCTGGCTTTGTAGATATGTGTTCTTCTCTCAACCAATCCAACACAGCCTGTTTTTTTCCTCCAGCATTGGAGCAAGAAGCTTTTCTTTGGCTGAGCACCAGATGAAGCAGCTTGCTTATCTTTAGGGGCCATGTTCTGTGAAAACCTGCTTTTCTTACCCCACTAAGTAGGTATCATCGGATATCATAAGTGTAATATGTGTACAGATGGGATTCTACCCTCTAGTAGAATCATGGAACACATGCTACATTCTCTTTCTCAACACGATGTGTTAGCAGACTTTACTTTCAAGTTTACATGGTGTTTCCTTGAACCATTAATTCTGTTTTCTAAGTGGCAAGTTTTCCCTTTTCTTACCTGTTATCAGCTGAGTTAGCACTTTAGTCTGGTCATTGAGAATGTTCACTGTAACATTTCTGGCCGATTTGAAGTACAGGGCGTTACCCTGCAACAAGAAAGTAAGAGAAACACATGAAAATGATACATTTCTAAACAAAAAGAACGGTCATTACAACTCTCCAAGGGGCCGAATTGGCTTTAGCCAAGTTCCAGTTAATGTGTCTTTACTCAAAAACTCCAAATGTTCAATGATCCCTATATACATGATAATTAATTAGCATCTATCTAAAAGAGATTTCCCTCAAAGAAATAAATACACACACACACACAAAATATTGATTTCCCCAGAACACATACACACACATTATGGTTGAATCAGAGACAATTAAGACACAAAGCCCATTAGATCTTACTGAAAATATTAGTTAGCCTTCGTACACAGAATGATCAGAAATGAATGATAATCTCCTAATATCATCGTTTCTTCAAAGGAGCCATGCAGAATCCTTTTAGAAGAGCAGGAAGCTCCTGTGAAACACCCAATATCTGCCCCTCAGGAATACCCACCAACTGTAAGAATCCTTTGTGGAGATATTTGCAATGCATGCATATAAAACCCAGAAGATTTGATGTCTGCAAGTATGACTCTGCCTCCCCTTTCTTCCTTTCCTTATCTCCACATTCCTTTTCCTCCAGGCCGTCTGTGCCCGTATCCACTCTGCCCTTTATCTGAAGGGCTCCCCGACTCTTTCACAGAGTGGTACACATTTCTGGGCATGACTCAGAACACGGCTTGGCACGCTTTTTATTAAAAGTCCTGACAGTAAATATTTTAGGCTTCATGGGATGTACATCCCTGTTGTAGCTACTCAGCTCTGCTGTTTTGGTGTAAAACTGGTCTTGGGCCATATATATTCAAAGAGGGTATGACTGTATTTCATTAAATATTATTCATGGAAAATGACATCTAAATTTCATATAATTTCAATTTTATATTTAAATTTTAATATAATCTGAATGAGCATTGACATATTATTCTTTTTCTGTTCTGTCTCCCCCTCCGTCACTCAAAAATATAAAAACCATTCTTAGATCACTGCTGAATGTAGCTGAAAGGCCATTGCGTGCCAACCCTTGGTTTAGAAGTTATCCTTTTCTTAAACGAAGCCATAAATTAAAGAATGAATCCCTGACACAGAACATGGAAAAAGGAATCTGGCAGCCATTCCTGCCTTTCTGAGCCTTTGTCACCATTTGGTATACACTTGCCTGAAAATTCAATAATATCTCAATGCGTTGAGCCCCAGATACCTAAAAGTCATTGTCCTACAAGTCATGAGCAAACAGAAGATTGGCAAAGCTCAGTCTTTACCTTCTAAGTCTTATATTCTAATGAAGACCAGGAGATGGTCACAAATACGCTAGGCAGAGAATAACAAGAACGATTAGGGAGCTACAGGATGTTTGGGGAACTTTCCTGAAGGGTGACGTTATTCTCAGCTTGGAGCTGTGGAGTGGGAAGCAAAGAAGAGTTCCTGAAGCAATGAGCTAAGCCTTGAAAAGAACAGAGATACAATTTCATCAAGCTGAAATGAAAAACGAAGACCAGGGAGGTAAGAAAATTGTGGGCTGACTGTCTAATGTCTTTTTTCTTCTAAAACTGCTGTGGATGCAGACTGTATTAGCCAGCCCAGTCCAGCCACCTGCACATGTTTTAAACAGAACTGATAAGGGACAATGACCAAGAAACTGGTTTAGACTAATGTTTGTTTCTTTACAGAGAGAAAAAAATCTAATATACTATTATGTACTTCTCTGACTCCTTTTTTTTTTTTTTTTTTTTTTTTTGAGACAGAGTCTTGCCCTGTCACCAGGCTGGAGTGCAGTGGTCCAATCAATCTCGGCTCACTGCAACCTTCGCCTTCTGGATTCAAGCAATTCTTCCGCCTCAGCCTCCCAAGTAGCTGGGACCACATGGCAGAATGGCAGCCAACTCCCAGCCCCAGGTAGCTTTCAACAGTGGAGGAAAGGGGAGGGAATGGCAGCCACAATAGATTGACAGCCTGGAGTCCTGGTCTCTCTTCCATAAGGCTAACTGCTAAAATGGATCACCAACACTCATGGCCCATGCAGGCTCTGAATAGTCAGTTATCCTTGAGTGAGAGCTGTTGGCCTCGAGTCAGGAAAATAGACAATGACTTCTGATACAGGGCAACCATAGATTCAGTGTGATACCCCACAGTGGTTTAAAACTAAAATTCTTCCTGATGACAAAGGCTTAAAAAAAAAAAAAGGAGTTGGCAGGGCACGGTGGCTCACACCTGTAATTCCAGCACTTTGGGGGGCCGAGGTGGGTGATCACGAGGTCAAGAGATCAAGACCATCCCCGCCAACACAGTGAAACTCTGTCTGTACTAAAAAAATACAAAAAAAAAAAAAAAAAATTAGCCGGGTGTGGTGGCACGCGCCTGTGGTCCCAGCTACTTGGGAGGCTGAGGCGGAATCCAGAAGGCTTGAATCCAGAAGGCAGAGGTTGCAGTGAGCCGAGATTGTGCCACTGCACTCCAGCCTGGTGACAGGGCAAGACTCTGTCTCAAAAAAAAAAAAAAAAAAGGAGTCAGAGAAGTACATAATAGTATATTAGATTTTTTTTCTCTCTGTAAAGAAACAAACATTAGTCTAAACCAGTTTCTTGGTCATTGTCTCTTATCAGTTCTGTTTAAAACCTCAAGGCTGGGCATGTTGGCTCTGCCTGTAATTCCAGCACTTTGGGAGGCTGAGGCAGGTGGATCACCTGAGGTCAGGAGTTTGACACCAGCCTCACCACCATGGAGAAACCCTGTCTCTATTAAAAATACAAAATTAGCCAGGCATGGTGGTGCATGCCTATAATCCCAGCTACTCAGGAGGCTGAGGCAGGATAATCGCTTGAACCCAGGAGGCAGAGGTTGCAGTGAGCCAAGATCGCGTCATTGCACTCTAGCATGGGCAACAAGAGTGAAACTTCATCTCAGAAAAAAAAGAAGTAGTAGTAGTAGTAGTAGTAGTAGTAATAGTAGTAGAAGTAGAAGTAGTGGTGATGGTGGAGGAGGAAGAGGAGGAAGAGCTCATAATCCATAAACATGTTGTTTAGGAGGAGCAGGAGGAAGAGGAGGAGGAAGAAGAAACTTCAAATAAAGTGAGAATTCAGAACCTGGACAGGAGGTAATTAGAAATTAGTGTACTATTTTTTTTTTTTTCATATATTCAGCAACCTGGCACTGCAGGGAGAAGAGTGGCTTGGAATCAGAGAACTGGGCAAGTTAAATTCCAGTGCCACTGACTACTGTGTGACACGGAGCACATCACCAGACTGTTCTGCATTCTATTCTTTGCATTCTTCACCATCAGCCCCATATCATAAGCTCATCACTGACACAACAGAACACTCACTATGTATGTACCAGGTACACAGTAGGAGCTCTGGAGTCAGACTGCACTTGCAAGGTTTGTGACACTGGGCAAGTTACTTAAGTATTCCAAGCATCAGTTTCTTTAAATGAATGATGACACAAATATTAACTATTAAAATATATATATTAGAATTATTAAATTCCACATATAATTACTAAAACACACATGGTCCAGTGTTGGCACATTTTAAGTCTTCAATAATTGTTAGGGTAAGAGGAGGATGGGGAAAGGGAGAATAATGAAAGAGACAAGATGAGAAAAGAAAATAGGGTAAAAGGAGAAAAAGAAGGTGAAAAGAAGACCGGGAGAGATGGAGAGAAGCAAGGAAGAAGATCTTGCTTGTATCACTTAATCTTTCCAAACCATCTGTAGAATAAGTCAGGTGGTTTCATCCATTTTCAACATTCTCTCTTTCCATATTTCAAAGTGTCACCAGTTGGCTCATCATTGTCTTTCAAATCCCAGTATCCTCAAATGTTACCTGCCTGCACATAATATTATGCAAATAATTCTATCACACAAAAATCTCATAACAGCTTTGCTCAAGATTTATAGTAAGAGGGCTGGGCACATTGGCTCACGCTTGTAATCACAGCACTTCGGGAGGCCAAGGCAGGTGAATCACCTGAGATCAGGAGCTCAAGACCAGCATGGCCAGTATGGCGAAACCCCGTGTCTACCAAAAATACAAAAAAATTAGCTGAGCGTGGTGGCAGGTGCCTGTAATCCCAGCTACTCAGGAGGCCGAGGCAGGAGAGTCACTTGAACCCTGGAGGCAGAGGTTGCAGTGAGCTAAGATTGTGCTATTGCACTCCAGCATGGGTGACAGAGCAAAACTTCCTCTCAAAAAAGAGAAAAAAAAGATTTACAGGAAGAAGAATAATAAAACCATCCTTTTTTTTTAAATTACCATGTCAAAATGTTATAGTTTAGAGTTAATTGTTCTAATACACTAATATCCTGAGAAACAGTCTTTGCTACATCAGAATTTAAACAAAGAGCCTCATTCTAGCCTGGGCTGTGTTGCTATAATTCCCTCATATACCTGATAACAGAGAAATCACCAGGAAAAAAACATGAGTCAGCTAACATGAAGAGCCTCACATGGCAGCTAGGTTAGTGCAATTTTAATTTTGCTCTCTGAATCTGTCCACTGAGACTAAACCAGGAAAATACCAACTGAGCAAAGCATCCTTGGGGTCTCTGTGGTATTAGAACAACTAGGAGAAACACTCTCTGATGTCCAGTGAGAAACTAAACTTTGCCCTCTCAGCCTCTTCTCTTTCCCCTGCATTTCCTCCCACTCATCACTGCAGCCTCCAAGCCTGGGGAGGTGAATTTCTGTCTCAGGAGCCGGTGACTTTCACCAGCTGACCTCAGGGCAGCCATCCTAGGACAAGGGGTTTGCAGTGACTTCCTGGAGGCTCAGGTCTTCTAGGCAGAAAGGAATCTGGCAGACCTGTGCCTGATGATATTCAGAGCTTGTACCAGGTCAAGGCAGTCTATGGTCAGTCAGCCTGCATTATTCTGGACATGGGAAGGCCACGTGGAAGATGCAAAAGGAGGTAACACACATTTCTCCCACATGCAGAGGATAGTCCACATCAGTATTCCCCCCTCAAATCACTAAAGTTTGCAGCACTTCATGCTGAA